AGAAATATTGTATACGACGAGAAAAAAAAAAAAAAAAAAAGGAAAAAAAAAAAAAAAAAAAAAAAAAAAAAAAAAAAAAAAAAGAAAAAAAAAAGTTTTTTTTTAAAAAGTTTCAGTTTAAGGGTATGGTTGGAGGTGCTAGAAGAATCGCTGGAAAAATTGAGTTCTTCTAAATCTAAACAAAAGAATTGCTTGCAATATAGCTTGGAACTTGTGTTTTCCTATTCTTTCATTTCAATAACCCTATCCCTAAGCCTCATTACATCCAATAAAAGTCCTCTTGATTTAAGTTTTGCAATTATGACTGTGGAGAAGTGATTTTTATGCAAGCTTATGGTAGAAATTTCACATTTGTTTCTTTGAGCGAAACACATTAAAACTAAACACATGTGTGATTGAGTGCATATTCCGTGAGAAGGTCACTAGTTTGCATATGATGATTTTAAAAATAAAAACTTGAAATTGCATTAGCATGGCTATCTCACACACTACACTTCAAGGATGATTTAAAGATTACTGCTAATATTTGAATTAGGAATTTGAACTTGGATTAGTTCCTTGATGCTAGCTATGGTTCTTGATGATTTGTTTTCTTAAATGAAATTCTATGAGGGTCACATAGGGGGAAGCTAATGTTTTTCTTGTTACTTCTTGTTCTAGTTTTCTTTGTTTTGCTCGAGGACTAGCAAAAGTTAAGTGTGGGGGTATTTGATCGGATCATATTTATATATATTTTTACTTCGAATTCACTCGTCTTTTCTTGGTTAGTTCCTTATATTTTTGAGCTATTTACGTTATTTTTGTGTTTATAGGATCTGTTATGCAAATTTACCCTTTATTGTCACATGATAATACTAATTTACATTTTATAAACAAGGTTTGTCCCTCTCTATGTCTATATATTAAAAGGAAGGCAGAAAAGAAGAATCCAATGGAAATAAGAAGACGGGCAAGTGCAAGCTGCCGTGGGTACTGGCAGGTGGACCAGCTGGTTTACATCGAGAGACGTGGGGACTAGGGGAAAAGATGCTGCTTTGCAGCTGGAGGAAAGCAGCAAGGAGCGGACGTGACTGGGGGGAGTCAAAAACGAAAAAGAATAAAATAAGAAAAGAAACGGGCAGACAAAATGAAGAGGCCAAGTAGGTGAGAAAGGCAGAAAGAATAAAAAAAAAACAGCTGCCTTTGGCAGCTGGCGTGACTGATAGAGAAGAAGAAAGATATAAAAATAAGAAGAGGCTGGCGTGATGAGGGGGTCTGGGGAGCGGGAGAAAGAAGCTGCCCTTTGGGCAGCTTGACAAGAAACGCAGGACACGGGGCAGCGCCAGAGGAGGGCGAAAGGAGAGAGGTCAACACGGGGAGGAGGGACAGGAAAGAGCCTTGCGGCAGCAGAAACCAAGGAGAGGAGGGAGCTGCCCTTTGGGCAGCTCGCAGAGACGCAGGGGAGAGAAGTAACACGTACAGGGAGGAGAGCTGCCATTTGGCAGCTGGTGCGAGAGAGAGAGAAGCTGCCCTTGCAGCGTGTGCGCCAGAGAAGAAAATAAAAGCAGCTGCCCTTGGCAGCGCGACAATGAGAAAAAAACAGAAGGCCACAGACAGGAAAGAAATTGCAGCAAGGGCAGCGTGGGCACGAACGCAGCAGATCATCCTCTTTCGGTTTAATCTTTCCAAACTTCTCTTTTATTTCTGTTTTTAATAATGTGTAATTAATTTTATTTTGGCTAGAGGTTAATTCAAAGCCATGAATATATTTGTAATATGAATTGATTACCTTCGGTTGTGATTTCATAAGTTGTGATTTCAATTGACTTATCCGTTCGTATAAAAACTGATTTGTGTATGTTGGTTGAGAGTGCACGCTTAATTTACATGCATGAATTTGATGCTAGAATATAAGTGAATTTCACCTAATCGTTATGAACTTATTTTCACAAGTAGTAAAGGTTGCTAGTCACAATCACGTTAAGTAAATTCTTGGCAAGAGTATCATGCTTTTCATAGTTACGAATGCCTCGTCAATGCTTATAGTTTTCACAAAGTTTAATGATCTTTGATTGTATCGCTATTGTGCTTTTCACGTAGGGGACTTTTGAAGAATGTTTTGAATTGTTGTATGCGTTTTCCGTCCAATTCAATAACTTAAGGAAAACTTGAAGATTAAAAAAGTGCTGTTCACGGTTAATCTGGAGTATTGAGATTCACAATTTATTGAAAGAACAACTGAAAATCAATTTAGGTTGCATATGTGTCATGTGTGGAGAAGAACCCTCTAGCTAGTCTGTCATTTATCATTTTACCTTAATTTTATGTTTTTATCAATTCTGTAATTTAATTAAGTTTAATTTACTTTTCATCAAAACCAAACACCCATCCATTATTAAATTATATTATTTATTTAGTTTTCTTTATTGTTAGTCTTTTAATTTAATTTCCGTCCATTTCAGTTCCTAGTGTTTAATTTAATTATTTTCATTATTTTGAGTCATTTTAAGTGTGTTTCGAGTTATTAGAGTTTTTAGCCTAATTTTGTGTCCTTGAGTCTTATTTAATATTTTTAGGTTAATTTAATAGATTAGCAATCCCTCCTAATCCCCGGCCTAGAACGATACCCTACTTACATCTATACTACAATTGTCAAAAAGAGGGTTTAATTTGTGTGTCAAGTAATTCTTGCATCACCGGCTTGGCTTGGGAGCTTTAGAGTTTCAAAGCTTCAAGGTTTTGGTGTGATGTGAATTGGTTATGAATTGGTGTCCTAAAATGAATGAAATGGCCTTGTATTTGTAGAATTTTTTCAAGGCTTAATTTTGAATATAATATTCAGATGAAATAAATCATTTCTGCCAGGTGTTGACACATGTCCTTTTTTTATGACTTTTCCAATTTATTTTGATTTTTCGTTTAGTCACACGCTACATGTAAAAATTTATGTGACACGTGAGCGTTAAAATTGTAATTATTGGTCAACATTTATTTCTCCAAAATTTCGATGTCTACACTTCTATCACACAAAAAAATAATGGGCAATAATGTAATTTCAAAGGTCCAAAATTTACTTTTTTTTATTGAAGCCTCACCTACAGGTTATGTTAAAATATTTCTAATATTTAAAATTTAAAATTAAAAAAAAGACCAAAAGAACCAAAAAAAACCTCCCACCCCCCACGATCTCTCTCTCTCTCTCTCTCTCCCTCCCTCCCTCCCTCCCTCTCTCCCTCCTTCTCATTGTCTAAAAAAATATGTTCATACACACAAAGTGTGCAACCAAATGCTAGTTTATATAAAGGTAAGAGACAAACCAATACAAATGCGTTTAACTTTCTGGCTCCTAAACACTACCCAAAATTTGAAAGATTTCAATTTAAGCATAAAAAGGTTTTAATGATTAACACCATAATAGTGGTACTCTAATAACATTTTTCTTGCCACTTAGTATTACGATCTAGTTGTATTTCTTTTCACTTGTAAGTGAGAGGTCTAAAGTTTGATTCTCACCAAATGCGAAGTTGAATCACATTATTGCTAGCCCATTATGAGGCTAATACACTCCCACTCCCTTAGTGTAAATAATATTGTTTGTTAAAAAAAAACATTTTTCTTGAGTTTTTGCACTTGATACTAGAGATATTCTAGATATTTGAGGTCAGTAGTTGAGCTAGATAAAAATCTACTCGACTTGAGAACAGTGTGAGTTACAAGTAGAACCAATCACCCTTGATATGTGTTTCTACAAGAATGAATGCATGTTCATGATTTCGAAAGAGTTACTAAAGGCAGTTAAGAAACAATTACACGATCAAGTTTTGTGGCACAAATTATGAAAATACGAAGACACTCATATTGTGATATCAATGACGACAATGAAGGCTAAAGCCTCATTTTGTAGTTTGCATTTCATAAGATTTTAAAAGTATCAAAATTCGACCAACCGTTGCATAACAAGTTTCAAGTCAATGTGCTATAAGCTTTCAGTTGTTGCAAAATTTTCCAAGCAGTGCAATAGCTCGTTGTGCGAAACTACTCAACCAATTCAAGTATTCACAAAGCCCATGGAGAAGAGTAAGGTAATGAAGGTTTTGGGCTTCTTGGGGGCACCAACCCTTTAGAAGCAAATCAAATTCCAACTGTCAAATAATTGACCATACTCCAATTCAAATATTATTTTAGTCGGCTTGACACGAAGGTGTTGACACTTGACACATGGTATTCCGCGCTCACCGGATTCATCGAATTTCAAAACGGGAAATTTCCTCGTAATTAACTATCACGCGGTACACCATTTAATTATTATTTTATTAATTAACAAAATATTATTTTAGAGGAAATCGTAGTAATGATCCCTCAACTTTAATTCAATTTGAGCAATGATTCTTCAACTTAAAATCCACGATCATTGGTTCCTAAACTCATTAAAACATGGAGTTATGGTCATTTTCGTCACCTCCGTTAAAACTTCTGTCAAAATAAGTTACACATGAGGCTGGATTAAGATATGAAAAACCAAATGAAAAAAGTGTAGCAATGGCCTCTCAACTTTAACCCAATTAGATAAATGGTCTCTCAACTTTAATCCAATTGGAGAAATAGTGACTCAACTTTAGCCTATTGAAGGAATGGTCCCTCAATTTAATCTAATTGTAGCAATGATCCTTTCAATATGATGGAATTCTACAAAAAAGACCATGCCTGTAATTTTTTATGATGAACTATTACTCAAATTGAGTTAAAATTAAAAGGATGAATGGCACAATTTCTCTATTGTTACTTTTCCTTTGTCCTCGTCTCATTCATTTCTTAAAAGGGAATTTTAATAAAAAATTCCCGATATTATTCATTTTAACAAAAAACCATAATTTTACACTAAAAAATTAATCATGTATTATTCATTTTACATTTTATTTTATCTTTATTATTAAAACTCAAAGTTTACCATTCTTTCAAAGTTTACCCATTCTTTCTTAAGACGGAATAAAAGTCTGCCCCAGAGACTTTACGTAATAAAAGTCTGCCCCAAAGACTTCATATTTTCTAATTTTTCCAATCTTTTCATTGGCTCCTCGCTTTTTCCCAGATCGTCTCCCTCTGTTTATCCCCCACTCCCTCCTCTTCTTCCTCCTCGCCGATTCTCTGAGTCAGGTCTGTACGGAAGAGCAGCAGCAGCCATGCCGTCGCAGGAGTACATGGACAAGATGCAGGTCCGACAGAACTACCGGAATCTCTGGCACTCCGACCTCATGGGCACCATTCAGGCCGACACTCGCTGTATTACTCTCTCTCCCTCTCTCTCTTTCTCTCTCTCTTTAACTTTCTCTCTCTATAAATTCGACCGGTTCAGTGTCTGATATTGGACTGTGAATGTTTGTCGTTGCAGATTGCTGCTTTGCTGCGTTCTGGTGAGTTCTCTCCGTCGATCTGATTGCTTTGCTTGTTAGTAGATCTGATTTCCCTGCCGATTTCGCAATTTCTGTTCATGTTTTCCACGTTGACTTGGTCTGACACTCGTTGACTTCATTTCTTTATTTTAAATCTCGATGAATGCTAGGTAGATAAACTTTTCAGGCCAAATTTGCAAATCAATTCATTAGTCACCAATAGAAAATAACCACGTTAATTAATATTTAAGTAAAATTCCAATCATCAACAACTATGTCATATAGTTTACAAATTTGGTTTCCCTAGCCCATTTATTTCTCTGGATTAAAATTAGAAACTGAATACTTGATTGATTGTTTTTAGGATTAAGTACTTAAAACCCCCAAATCCTTTAGTGTCATTCCAAAGTGGTTCCAACCCCTTTGATCATGCCAAACAAGTACCCAACCTATTGAAAATGTAACATATGATAAGCCCCAGTTAAAATCTATTAAATTAACTAGAATTTACTTTGTCTCCAAAATCAGCATAGCCTCCACCAACTAATGGTCACCACCACCCTCATCGTGCCATCACCTCCAAACGCAAAGAAGAACTAGAAGCTTTACTAGTCGAGAATCGGCATATGAGGAAAACACATGAACAAAAACAAGCTCTTTGAAACCTTATATGAAATCTTAACCCTTTCTTTTGTTAGAATATTGTCCTCTTGATATCATTTCAATTTGGGTTTGTTTTTTATTCAATCCAATACCCATTTAATCATTGTGTTTCATATTGTATAATCTATGTTTGAAATTTCGATTTTAAGGTAACAAATATTAATGTTGACTATGATATACCCATTTAGTGGGTTTTGAATATAATCTATGTTCCTCGGGACCAGAATTCTCTTGACCAGACTCCCGCTAACCAGAATTGGCAAACATCTTGATCAAACTCCAATTTGAACTTCAAATAACCAGGCTCCCCCTAATTGAACTACCCATGATTAGACTCCCCTAATCGAACTCCTATTTGACCAAGCTCCTCTATATTAGATTTCCCTTGACCAGTCTCTCATGATCAGAACTCTCATCTCATTGCAAAGGCAATTATAGACTTCTTTGCAAGAAACAATTGCTCATCTGCATCTTGTTCCAATTGGCGTCAAACATCTTGCTAGCTTGCTCTTAACACCTTCAATTGGCTCATGGAGACCTTTACAATAAAGCATGTCCTCTATTCTTGATTTCCACGTAACTCAGTTGGAGCGGGTGAGTTTCATCATGGTGCTAGTCACACCTTCCATTCTAAACGGATATCAGCCAAATCAGGCTCTGATACCACTTGTTGTGAATATCGAGTTTAAGAATGGGAAAGACTAAACAAACTCGGGAAATTGAAAACAAAATAATCAAGATAAACAATGCTAAGAATTAACGTGGTTTGGCTATATGTGCCTAGGTCCACAGAGCAACAATAACAATCTTTCACTATATCGATAATGAGTACAACGGATAATCTTGCCAAGCCTTTAGGATTAAGACTTGTGAAAAACCTGAAAGAACAAAAACAAGAAATGCACTCTTATCTCTCTTTTTTATCTCACACACAGTTTGCCATCACAATATTCTCTCACTCTAACTCTTTGAGTGGTATATAACATATCATGGGCTGAAAAAACCCAACATCTACTGAGATAAATTTTAATTTAAAAAGTAGATGTAGGATGTATTAACTATGTGAGTGTAGTCAACAAAATGTGGGGTGTGGATAAAATAACCCTACTTGATTTTAGGTAACAAACTATTTTTTGTGCCCTCAATGCGTCAATGGATGCTGCTTTGATTTTTTTTTTTTTTTTTTTTTTTTTTTTGCCTTTCTGGATTTCTCAATGCAATGGAGGGAAATACCATTAACTAACTCTTTTTATTTTTTGTTTCCGGGTAGATTTCGTTTACTTGTCAAAAAGAAAGAGAAATTAAGAACAAAACCATCAGAGTGTACCATAGTGGTGGCAATCAAGCCGAAAATTCCACAACTAGATCATAAATTTTCCCTCCTCTAATACTTGTTAATCGTTATAACATATAGTGTGGCTCGAATTCTTTTGCACCAGATAGAGGCTATGAACAAGAGTAGAGTAATTAGCAACCCCCAATAGATTGAATTCCATCATATGAACTGAAAAGGGATGCTTAGATTTCAAGTAAGCTTTGAGGCATATTGCAGGGCCTTTTTAGTTATACATTGTCCATTTTATTTGGGTTGCTAACTTCAAACCGCACTTTTAATTTTACCCGTGTATGAATTAACTATTTGATCATCAGGTATTGAGTCTTCCTCCCATTGTGGTGATATTGATTGACTTTTGTTTCCCTGCAGTGCACCATGTGCTTCATACTTGCTCCGGAAACGAGCACTTTATAATGACATGTCAAGGTGATTTGTACTTTTGATTTTGCTTGAACCCTAATCTGAACTATGTGACCTTGTGTTTTGAATACAGTGATAATTGCGTTTTTGTTTGTCATAGATATGTATGCTGTGCTGGTTATATGCCCTGTAGCGGTAGGTGTGGGGAAAGTAAATGTCCTGAATTCTGCCTGGCAACTGAGGTATACAATGAATGTAATTTTACGATGGTTTATGTAACCTTCTTCAAATCCTTGGTTTAACATCTATATGCCTTTTGTGTGTTAATTTTGTCCTTATTTCTAGTAGATTTCACCACATTCTTGGTTGTTTCCTACTATCTTATCTTCATGCCTTATATATAGAAAGGACAGATTGATAGCTAATCATCTATTAGTTAAGTATTTCTGGAAGTCCTAAAATCCTGCTAGGAGACCAGCCAATAGATAACAGAGAGAATCCCCATGTCGCCCAACGAATTTGTTTGCTAAAATTTGTGCATCTGAAAATGGTTTGATTTTAGTTGCATCCCATGCAAGCTAAAAGGCTTAAAGTTTGTATTAGTAATCAGCAGAAGTATAGAGAAAATGAGGGTTTTTTTTTTAATGTTTGAGAATTCATAGGCAGAGAGAAGAATAAGGAAGAGAAAAAAAAAAAAAAAAAAAAAAAAAAAAGAGGAAGTACAGAAGGAGATATGAATGAAACCACACCAAGCCTTGAACAACACCTTGCTATGTTTATTTCCGAGACCTAGAAATACTACTCTTAACTAGTAGAAGCTCTTAAAAAAAATTCAAAAAGCATGAAGTCTCTAAAATCCCACATACATTGGCTCTTAATAACACCTTAACTCTTAAGTGACCTCCAAATTGACTGAATCCAAATTTTATTTAACGATTATGTCAATTGACGAACTGTTTTTGTATTTTTAATTGCCAAGAGCATTTCCCTTTGGGACTGGGAAGGCCTTGACTGAAGTGTTCCAATGCATTTAATCTTGGGCTTTTAGAGATCCTTGATTGTTTTCCTAAGCAAACTGTTGTTATCCCATCACCTGATAGATCTCTTGGTGCATGTGATTTGGCTAATTAAGCTCCAGAAACATAGAATCATATGATAGAATAAGAAATTAGTACAAAAAACAGATACATAACAAGGTGCTCAAATTTGGTTCCATCGCAGTATCTTGGCACCTGTTGTTTTCAATATCCTGATCAGAATCTGGTTCACGTGTTCAATGCTATACAAACAAACCAATCCATATGTTATCTTGAATTTCATGGGTCATAAATATAATGACTTTGCTCAAATGTGGCTCTAGCCTAGTGTAATTTATGGCCAATTAAGTAGTGCTTTCGGTTCATGTAGTTTTCCATAAGTAATCAATTATACGACAAGAGTAATTGAAGGTCAAATTTGCTTTAGGGGTTGAATTTTAGAGGACAGACTGCAGCAAAGGACTTGTATAGGCGTTTTACTCTTTCTTTCTTTTGTGTAAGCAAACAATCTTATTTAGGGTCAGTTGCATGCTTGCCATTATTTTGTTACTATAAGCTGGAGCTGCACAGAGATTCGCTTCCTGTAGTTTCTAATTTTCATCCTACGCTTGACATTCCAGGTTTTCCTGTGTTTTGGGAATTCAGTGGCCTCAACCCGCTTTCTGTTGCAAGATGAATTCAATATACAGACAACGCAGTGTGATAATTGCATCATTGTAATCTCTCTCTTGCAATACCATCTTCTAGTTTATAAAATCTTTATAGCAGAGCTCGGATTGTGGTTTCTAATTTAATATAATGTGCTATTCAACTGTTAGTGATGCTTCCTCTTGTTAACAGGGTTTCATGTTCTGCCTACAACAACTTGCGTGTATTTTCTCCATAGTTGCAATGATTGTTGGAAGTGAAGAAATCTCAGAGGCATCTCAGTTGTTGAATTGTTTGGCTGACTTGGTGTACTGCACGTAAGTTCTTTTCTTTTACCCGTTGAACATTCTCAACCAACGTTGATTGGTGGTTACTAATTTTGCATTTGCTTTCTTTTGCAGGGTCTGTGCATGTATGCAGGTAAGCAAGTTGTTTTTTCTCTCGTAATTCATCTTAAGAATTCCCAAATGCAAAACTAGAACAAAAGTTAGATGAACTTCATTTTCTGGTGACTCCCGACTCTTTTAATTTTGCAGACACAGCACAAGATTGAAATGGACAAACGAGATGGCAAGTTTGGACCGCAACCTATGGCAGTTCCTCAGTTTCAGCAGATGTCTCGCATTGATCAGCAAGTTCCTCCCACAGTTGGATATCCACCTCAACCAGCATATCCTGCTCAACCAGCTTACGGTCAGCCCTATGGTTATCCACCTGCTCCACAAGCTCAAGGCTACCCACCAGCCGGTTATCCTCCAAGCGGCTATCCACCCAGCGGTTATCCACCTTCCGGCCATTAATTGTAGCTGATTTTGAACAGATTTATGCATCCAATTACAATCTATGGTGGCCGTTTTGTTCAATCGTGTTACGTGTTGGTTTGCAAGTTTTGTCTTTGAAGTTCCAATTTGTGTATCTTCGACCTTGCTCTTCTTAAATTTTACTTGCAAGAGGGTTGACTGACGTATGCAGTAACTTTGTGCTTTGCTTTTTATGATTTAAAACTTCAAACTACCTCACACTATACACAAATGCGAGCATCTTGTCGTCTCTCTCATATTTGTTTTCTCATGGTAGTTTGTGTGGATTTGTAAGACTGAAATCATCTCTCACACTTATGGCGTGTTTACCTATTCGTAATTGGAATCAAAACAAGGAGTCTGAATCCGATTATCGAGTATTCAAGTGTTGGCTTACTAAACCCTGTTCTTTTCTTTTTAGGGTTTTCGTTACATAGTCATAGATCAGGTGTTTGCTCCCCTTCACACTTGGGTTTTGTGCAGGGTTTATGCATGACCCGGGTGGACAATGTATTGACACCGTATCTCTATCATATTGGCTCTCGATCATATTAATACTATAGTGTATTGTTATTATAAAATTAATGAGATGGGATACGCTGCCAATACAGGTCATGTGCAAACCACAGGTGCGCATGTGAGCATTTATGAGTCATAGAATATCAAAATGGGGTGTGCTATCCATAAACATTTTTTTTAATTCTCACTCTTTTAATTTTCGGTCGTCGGATCAAATGAATTGAGAATGTCAAATGACATAAATTTAGAGCATAAATCTATAAGCAAGCATTTCATTTCTCAATCCACCTATCCCAATGCTATTATTGTTGACTGTACTGTAATTTAAGACCTACAAATGGGTGGTTTAGGGCCTGTTTGGTATCTAACTTGAGAACAAAACTCAAATTTTTTTATTTATTTTAAAACACATGTTTTGATTTAAAAATTTTAAATTCAAAACTTTGTTTGGTATGCAACTTCTCAAAACTAATTCAAAACAGGAAAAATCAAACGCCCAAGCCAGACCAATTTCCCGACCATCGCATCCCTCTCCCCAGCGACTCCTTTTGCTATTTACCGACTCCTTCCTCCAAACTCGAGATGACAAACCAAGGTTGGTCACGTTAGCGATCTCAAATCTGAAATCCAACGACCTTCAAAACCAATAGCTATTTGTTGCTGTTGATTTATCTTGGTTGGAGGAAGAAGGATAGAGGTGGTGGCTATGGTGGATGCAAGTGGGAAGAATTGAAGAGGCAATAGAGAAGAGAGTATCAAGAGAGGGGTAAGAGAGAGAAGAGAGAGGAGAGGAGAGAGAGAGACGGGAGTGAGTGGTAGAGAGAGAAAGAGATAGAGGGAGAGAGAGGGGGGAGTGAGTGGTAGAGAGAGACAGAGGAGAGTGAGGTGAATCCCAAAAATAAAAAAAAGGTCTAAAAACACACTTTTTGTGTTTTCAACAAATAAGCTTTGTTTTCAAATATTATATTCAAATCAAAACCAAACAAAGATTTAAATTTGTAACTAAAAACTTGTTTTTGAGTTAAAAACATTGGATCCAAATCAAATAGCAAACATGCCCTTAAATTTTTGCATTTTTCTTTTGTCAAACACAATCTTCATCATATAGAAGAAAATGTTATAAGAGATAAACATAAAAACAAATTGTAAATTAAGTAGACATAGAAAGCTAAGCAAAACACCGCATAACCCAAACAAGGCACATGATACCCTAATTAGACTCAAGCCTCTCGACGCAAGTCGAGCCTGCCACAACTACGTGGTCTGTTATGCAGAAAAAGAAAAATTAGAAACTTACTGTTTAACGTGCATGGGGATTTTTTTTCTGTTGAATTTTGTTCCTTCGTAAGGGATGGATGTGTCAGAGAAAAATTCATATGCGCTCAATTTTATTCAACTTTGATCTTACTTATTACGAGGATTGATTATTTTGGTGTATAGAATGGTTCTATATAGATTAAAAATTTAAGAGATTCACCAATATGATAATCTAAGTTTAACATAATGAGTTAAAATCCTAAATAATCAATTATGTCAATAAATAAAACTAAAACAGAGAAATTTAAAAGGGAAATTTCTCAACGCGATATTTAATAGAACTTTACAACCACGAGCTCAATGCAAGTGCGACTTTGATTTTTCGTCTCTTTTTCTCAGCAAGCAAATGGACCATTAGATAACAATGCATGATGCCTAAAAACTCAACTAACCATCCAACCCATATGAGATTACTCAAATCTTGATCACACACATGAATTAGTTAATGCTGATGCAGCTATCAAATCATATATATGCATCGTTTTAGCTCATGCTTTACGCTTAATCTAATCTCTCAAGTATGAACTAGACGTACGTCGTGGCATCGTGACCAAATAATTAAACCAAATAAACTTTGTCTTAACCACAACCACCTCAAATTTCCTTGGACGATGATTTTATGCTGATGCAGCTATCAAACCATATAAGCTATCTTTTAATGATGATTTATGTGGTCTCGCTCTGTAATAATTTGATGTGGCTTCGTTCTTCCACGATGACCTATGTGGCCACCAATATATGACTGTTGTGGTCACTGATATAAGACTGTTGTGTCTATGATTTTTGTGAAAATTTGTGTTGGTGATATTTTGTAGGGTTGTGCTTGTGGCAGCTGTATAGGAGTTTACTGTAGTTTGATTGATTGCGCAAATTCACTTCAAATCAATCTCTTAGTTGTTAGAGCTATGTGCCCAATTGACACCCTCTATAACCATTTGTGGTTTTAATGAAATAGCACCACTGTATCACTTCTTGTAAAAAAAAAAAAAAAAAAAAAACACCACCACCTCTAAATTTCCTTGGACCAGACAATTAAACTATATATAATCTAATTTAAATAATTAATCTTGGCAGTACTTATATGTTTTGATTGTATTTTTCATTTTTAGACTATTTTAACCTTGTGCGTGTGGATTTTATTGTCTTTGTCAATCTATCGACTAATAGTTTTCGTGTAGGTTTTCCCTTATTCCAGAAACTGCAAAATACCATGTAACATTAACATGAACCAGACGCTAATTAATATGATACAGTTTATTGAATTTTTTAATTTAGTAGAAGGTTGCGTGCGTACGGATACGATAAAACGCAGAAAACACGTAGCTTTACGTGTTATTATGTTCATCATATCATACACATCATTTGGTCATTAAAATTGAGAAAAAATTATTGCCCTTCCCTAAAAGCTTCTTGTAAATCCATGGAGGAATTCGAACAAATTACTATAATAGTAGTTCTATCTATGCTTTTAAATGATAATCTTACCTACAACCCATGATAGATTGTGTCAACAACACCCTCGAGAGTCAAAAACTTTGATTTGATGACTAGTATTTCTCACCTAGTTGTAAATTCTACTATACACGTACTCTATGTATTTTTGAAAAAATATGTATGCATCCTGTATATTTATCAAAAGGGGTATGCTATTCACACACCCCATTTTACTTTTCACACACCATTTGATAATTTATGTCCGTTGATCTTCTTCAATTCATCCGATCCAACGGCCGAAAATTAATTAAGTGTGTGAAAAGTAAAATGGGTGTGTGGATATCACACCCCTTATCAAAATTCAGGTATTAATTTCGCACATTTAATTTTACTAATAAATTTAGGCATTATACAATATTTTTAACATAATATTTTCTTCCAAATATAAAAGTATTAAAACTTTGTTGTAGGCATAATTTACTGAACGATTATGGAGGCCATAGAGAGAGAGAAACGTGCGACAATAGTAGAGAGAAGAGAGAGATGTGTAATTGTGAGGTGTGTTCTATTCCATCCCATTGTGCCTTTATTTATAGTAGTAGAGAAAACTAATTCCTTACCCTTTTAGGATTACAACTCTTAATAGGTAATCAACTCCTAATAGGAATATAAGAGATATTCCAAGATATACTAGGATTTACACAATCACATTCATAATCTAATAGGACTGCAACACTCCCCCTTGAGTGTATAAATACTCAAGTAAATGGCGTATCAGGTCTTCAGTGATGAAGCAAGTACAGTTGATGAAGTCGTCGGCACAATGAGCGAATGCGAGTCTCAGATCAACGGAAGAATGCTTAAAAAATTAAAACTCACAAAAACTTTGCTATGGTAAAACCCAAGGTGAGAGAAAAACCCATAGACTAAGGATAAAATTGAGAAGTTGCATTAAGTCAAAACTATACGTCTTTTGGACGTAAGTAGAAGAACTCACAAGGGTATGATCAGCCCAGGATGGGTGCCTCATTAAAACCTAGTTAGGTAGCAAAAATCCAGTGGGAAAAATGCTCCTAATCGTAAGGAAAAAGAGTACATTAAGATCAAGTGAGTATACTTCTAGTTACTCCCCCTGAGTTTGACATAACTTCCAAATGAGAACTACAAGCATTGCATATGAATAGTTAGGCATACTAATTCCTCGGACAAGCTTTTGGAAGGTTAACTTCTGCAGTGACATCGTGTAGAGGTCGGCTGGGTTGTCTGAGATCGGCTTGCATGACTTCAATATCCTGATGCTTTGCTGATGTAGATGTAGATACAATATGTCTTTGCGTAGACTTGTATCATGGTTTGGTTAAGTGGATACATGCGACATAGTCTTTATGGATCGTCGTTGGGACTCAACGATAGATGAAAACACAACAAGTATTTTGAATATGCTAAAAAAAACTCCTAACCATGTCTCACTTGTGGCGTCGTGAAGTGAGGTGAGTCTTTGAATGATTCGAAGATTTCGCAACTAAGGTCATATCGTGGACCTCCAAGATATTGGGATATCCCTAACGGTAAAGACATAACCATTTGGGGTTTGATAAGTAACCTATGTCAGCATAACAAACAAGGAAAACATCATTTCGAGGATCAAGGGGGTTGGATCCGCTTGAGATGTGTTGGGATTTTCCCACGTATTACCTTCAGGGTACGTCTTTAATACCAATTCAGTGGATACGTGTAGGCGCGGTGCTGTATCTTTACCAATAGATCAACAGTGAATGAGATGTCTTGTCTTAATACAATGAGCTAAGTACAAAAAAGCACAAAGCTAAACTTAGATATGGAATTTCGGATTCCATAAACGTATAGACGATCATAGGTATACTCAAAGGTAACACATTAGGGGTGTAGTTCGACTGGTAAACCAAGGTACTGTCAAAACAACGCTTGAACTTCAGGTCAAGGCATAAACAAGTTTTCGTAAGATCCT